AAGCACACACATAAATCGTAATTTTGAAAAGGCGATTAGAGTATAATTATTATTTAATATAATTTATATCTATACCAAGAAATATTATTTTAGGTTTATTTCTAGTTTTAGATAGTTTTAAATGATATATAGTTACAAGGTTTAAAATATATCGACAATTTAAAGAAATATCTAATAAGAAGTAAATCATATTATAAAATCTAGAGTACAATGTCTTATTTTGCATTTCTTGCAATAAGAGTGTGATTGTACAGGGTCGGTCAAATTAGACGCTTTTAAATGGAAACACCCTTTTCTATAGGAGATAAACAAAAACTAATATCGGTGTCTGGAGCTCAATTTTTGTCAAAAACGTGATGGTGAAAACCGCATATCGATATCTGTTACCGTTTCGGAGTTACGGGGTGTTTTTCAAAAATATGCATTTTTAACAAATCGCTGTAACCTTTTTGCTATGGAAAATTTTGTATTTTTATGAAAACATTTCCAAAGCACCTTTTTACCTAGAATTTAATGGTTTAAGTATAATTTTTTTAAAATTAGTAATTTAAGAATTATCAACAGAAAATTTGATTTTTTATAAGGGACACCCTGTATATTTCTAATTTATTGAAAATAATTTAAAATTACCTTTCCAAAAATATAACACACTTGATATTTTGCTCGATTCCTCTTCGAGATATAGAGTATATAAAAATTCGTCCGCTTTAAATAAGTAGGCTTTGAACGGCACCGGCTGTAATGCAAAAAAATTCTAGCTGTGAGCATCAGTTAAAACGAAAATAATATTTGCTATGAGAGATGCAGAATTTTATAACAATTTAAAATACATTTAACCAACATCAACACATTTAAACTATATCTAATAACAATAAAAATAAATAGCAAACCAAGACATGAGATTTTGCTACAGGTATTAACATATCGACCGTCTTCTGTTATGGACAGACGGGGCAGTTTTTGAAAATTTCTCGCGGAATTCATTAACTCAGTGGGGGTGAAAGATACCCTCTCATAAATGCTAATTCTTGTTATTGTTCTGCTATTTCTAATTCTTGTCTAGATTATACGGAAGAATAAGGGATCTTTATTCTTCCGCAAATATATCCATAGGATTAGATCCATGGGCACTAAGTCAGGCGGCCTCGACGGCCAACGGCTGGGATCTTGGTTAGCTAAGTGGCGAACTTTTAAAAATTCTGTATTCCGAAGGGGATTGTAACAAAATATCAAGTCTGCTATATGTTTGGAAAGGTAATTTTAAATTCTTTTCAGTTAATTAAAAATATAGAGGGTGTGCCAAATAAAAAATCAATTTTTCTGTTGATAACTCTTAAATTATTAATTTTAAAAAAGTTATACTTAAACCATTAAATTTTAAGAAAAAAGGTGCTTTGGGAATGTTTTCATAGAAATACAAAATTTTCCATAGCAAAACAGTTACAGCGATTTGTTAAAAATGCACATTTTTAAAAAACACCCCGTAACTCCGAAACGGTAACAGATATTGATGTGCGATTTTCACCATCATGTTTTTGATGAAAATTGAGCTCCAGACACCGATATTAGTTTTCGTCTATCTCGTATAGGAAAGGGTGTTTCCATTTAAAAGCGTCGAATTTGACCCACCCTGTACACAAAAGTTTATGTTTATTTCACACTTATAATTGAATGCAGTAAATAATATTGCCTTTATTACAGTTGGGGGTTTATTATATATTATATTTTTGTTTATAATATTCTGCTGCCTTGTGATTTCCTAAAAAGGTTTTCACAACGGATACAAAGCTCTTCCATGCTTCTGCTTCCACCTCACTCATGTGATTTAAAAAGTTCTTATCATTTATAAGAGTGCGGACCATCAAGGACACCTGCGTTTAATTTCTCCATGCTAAGGCTGGAAAATGTCTGACAAATATGTTTAAAACAATCACCATTTTTATCCAGAGCTTTAACGAACTGTTTTATGAGCCCAAGTTTAAGATTGTTGTTTTTAAATATAACAACAACTTAAACGACTTAATGAACAAACTGATATAGTAGTAATTAAAACTAACTTTCTTTTATAAAATTCAGACGGTGACAAAAAAACGTGTGTTAAGTTAGCCACTTAAAAAAATGTATGAAACTATGTGGAATAATTGCCGTAAATTAGCCGTAAATTTGCCGTGAAAACGAAAAATTTGCCGCTCTTCGCTAAGTATGTTAAATGTGGATGGTTGTGCTAAGTTAATATTAAGTTAGCACAACCACCATTGGAAATCAGTGAAAGAACATAGTTAGAAATTTTACAGTATAGCAGGAATTTGCCGTTTTTTTGCCGTTCTTAGATACAATTAAAAAAAATATCCTCCGATCATTCTCTATCCCCCTGCAACAAAAAATGTAATAGCGTCAAGGTCATACATTAAGTTAGCACAACCATTCCTGTAAACGTTAAGTAAAATGTCTGAAATTAGGTTGAACAATTGCCGTAAATTAGCCGTAAATACACCATGCAAACCAAAAATTTGCCGCTCTATTATTTGTTTACAAAAACGACAATTTTTTTAATTGACGTAAACGATAACGTTACATTAGCACAGTTTTTATTAAAATTCATTAAATGGGATCAATAATGACTTTATAGTACAACAGGAATATGCCGTAAACAAGCCGTGAAATTGAAAAATTTGCCGCTCTTTTATTTCTCTATAAAATCTACAGGGTGATTCAGGCTTCCGAAAAAACTCTGTTAGGTTTTGGTTTGTAAATTTCATTTCATTTTTTTATGTAATATGGAGGCAATGGTAACGCATATTTTAAAAATATTTTTGTCAGCATACAGGGTGATTCGAACATATTCTCAAACCAAAGTTGTATATTTTTAAATGGAATACTATATATTTTTTTAGCTCAGTGGGTTTGCCACTAAATTTCTGTTTCAAAAATACCAATGTCATATACTATACCTAATGGTTTTTGAAATATAAACGTTTTTAAACTAAATTTACTGCTTATTTAAAGCCCTCTGAAAATTCTAAATTCAAAGAATTTTAAAAAATTTAACAGGAAGTACTGTATAATAGTGTCTTCTTCAAAATTCGGTCTACCAACATTTGCTATCTTGTTTGATATATACAAGGTGAGTCAAAACTAAATGTTGTATTTTTATCTACTATTTTAAATGGAACACCCTGTATTATGTATCATAATCGAACAAGGTGTTGTTTAATCTTTTTGTCTTATTAAACATAACTCAGCGTTTTCGGAACCTAATGTTCCAAGAAAATTAATTTAAGAGAAACCTTAAATTATACTTGTGTATATACCGAGTTTAATGATATTTACCCAAATTCAACATACCCTGTATTGGGTATATACTGGGTATGGGTACATATATTAGGTATATACTGGGTGCATATATTGGGTATATCGGGTGCAAGACCTGGGGTATTTACCGAAATTTCAATATACCAGGTGTTTGCCCATCACTATTAGTAATAGTTTATACCGTATGATCGAATAAAAACGGCGTCAGCGATGGCTATGAAATGAAGATCACTGTCATTTTATATGTAAATTTATATGGGAAATGTCATCGATTGTCATTTCATAGCCAACTGGACGCCATTTTTTTTCGATCATACGGTACATATTAAGGTGGAAAGTGAAGGGAAAATGATATTTTCTGTTTATAAAATTATTCTTAAATTTCAGTATGGTAAAATGCGTTTATTTTCTCCTGGAGTATACTCATAAAATTTAGCTCACGCAATTCAAGATACCCTTTACATATATACTTGGTCACGACGAAGTGATTTAAACGATCATGTCAAACATTGTCTTTGATATATTCTTAGTTGCAGCGTATGCGAAGACCTACTTCTTTATAGACACATTTCATATTTTAGTTTGTTGCTGAAAATAGTGCTTTTACTGAATTTCAATCTTTTATGTAATTCATCATAAAGCATTTTTTTCATGAGTTCTTTAAATTAATTGCGGAGGTAATTTAACAATTTTTGTATCAATACTGAAGCCAATATACAATATATTTAAGTTAATTTATGTACAATGGTAAACCAAGAGTTACCTAACAATATAACATATTTTTTTCCTTTGTGTTGTGTCTTATCTCCCATCCGCCATTTTATCCTCATAATACTTAATATTGAGTTTTGTATATTCTGTATATAATTGTGTCTATACTGTATATAATACTGTCTATATTAAGGTTAAGGTCCGATGTCCGGTTAATGTCGACATTACCCGGTTAATCTCGAGAATAAAGCGGGGTTTCCACATGCGAGGATTACTGGCGCCATTCAACTGGCGCCAGTTTTATTGTATGTGGAAACCTGTAAAATCGACTGGCGCAGGTTTAGTGGCGCCACTAATTCATGTGCCAGTAAAGTTCAACGCTCCTGTACTTTTTGGCGCCAGTTTTGTGTGTAAACAATACAGCGAGCATCTCCAGTCGTAAAAATGTCGTTTGTTTCAAAAAAGTGGTCTACTGAATTAATAATAAAGTTTTTGGAAGCCTACGAACAACATCCTTGCTTATGAAACAAAAAAATAAATGATTATAAGGACCGAAATAAAAGGGATGAAGCGTTAAGAAGAATTGTCAGTTGAGTCATGTCTGATTCTTCTTCAAAGGCCAAAATTCGAAGTATTATGAATGCTTACACCCTAGAGCACAACAAGGTGTTAAAATCTCATAAAACTGACCGTAATGACATGCCAGTTTTAAATTTACTATAGACCTGTGGAAACGGGTAATGGCGCCATTTAATTGTGGCGCTTAACACTGGCGCCAGTAATCCTTGCATGTGGAAACCCCGCTTAACCCACAACAAAACAACCAAAAACATAACCTAATCCAAACATTAACAGACTAATGGCGACATTAGCCGGACATCGGACTTTAACCGTAACATATACACTTATTATATATCGCCAAAAATGTATTTCACAATAAAAATGACAATTTAAAAAAATAGTTTCATTTGTTTCAGATTGTCCTAACTGCATAGAAGATTTACCAGCGTTGAACAGATGGACGATGCCTTTGTTAAAATTAGGCGAAAAAAGATATTATTTAGGAATATTTTTTAAGGTTGGTGAAATATTTTGATCATTGAAGTAGAGGAAGAAAAGGCCAATTCTGTTTAAAATTACTAAAAACAAGCAAAACAAAACAATGAACAACCAAAAAACAATAAAAACACTTCACAACAAGAAAAGATAAGAAAGAAAGTTTTTTTTGCCTTTAATATATTTTTATAATTTATAATATTTATTATTTCTTTAATATTTTCTTGTTCTTTAATTTTTTTTATTTTTAGTTTGTTGGTTTTGATTTTTTAATATTTTATATGCCAAATTGTATTCTCGGCGTTTCTTCATGAATTAACGTGATCATTTATTATGATATTTTCACAGTTATTTCTGACTAAACAAAAAATATACGTTCTAGTTTAAAAACAGCCTTAATAAATTTAATATAACTTATGTAACGTAAATTTAGTGGAATTTCCTGATTCTTACGAAATTCGATGCGAAGAGAATGAAGATTTAGATCGGCGCAGAGTAATTGAAAATGATGTTTCAACATCCTAATATTTAACGTTAGGAAACTCGAATGGATTCAGTGTATCTTAATGTCACAACAAGATTTTAAGTAGAAATACAAGATTTATAAAGCCCCTACACTCTCATTACACCAAGTTAGGGTTGTCAGATTTTTATAACAAAATTACGGGTGAGAAACAAAATATGACGACCCTCTCGAAAAAAGGGTAGTAATTAAGGGTGGCAATTTTAATGGAAATGAAATAATTTTATACATATGTACGTGTGTCTTTTTTTTTACTTTGTGAACTTAAATTTGCGCAATAGGGAGGGTGGTCCTTTCGGACTTGTAGAACATTAGAAACTAGTTTGTAGAAGTTGATTTATTTATAATAACTACGATTAATATTATGTATATTATTAGATCGCACACTGAAATTTCAAATTCACAATAAAAAAAGTTAAAAATAATATCTTTAAATTTCTGACCAGGATATTATTTAATTGAATCTTCCAATTGGCTCGATATTCCTTATTTAATGTTAATTAGCGTTGATCAATATTGTTGCGATGAATATAATCAGATTAAATAATTTAAGAAACCAGAGTCGGACTTGAAACTATTTTAAATAATACATAATTAAATAGTTTCGTTGCTGTTAAGGTACCCAAAACAGAAAAAAAGTATAATGTGTGGCATATTATTGTATTCAGGAGACCGAGTTCTTTTAAAACCTGAAATAAAAAATGCAGGTCCGTGTTTAAAAAAAATAAGTTAGCCTCTGTATCTCACAAATTATCAGCTAATTTGAAAATCTAAAAATACTCTCAGATAGCCATAATAAAGTGGCTATGAGAATGTGCAATTAGTTTTTTGATTTTCTAAAAAGTAACGACAGGAAAAAATAAAATTGATTTTCAAAAAAATCATTTTTTTTCAAAAAACTCAGCAATCCTTGAAATTTCTAAAACTTTTTTGATGGCATCTTGGTAAACATTTCAATAGGCAACTTTGCCCCAAACTATGTTCGTATCTATTACGGTTACCGAGATATTGTAGCACCCTGTATATTCATTTATTTATGTTTTCTTAGTAATTTATACATTCTCACAGATGAAGCAGCAAAAAAGTTTCTTCTATGTCAAAACATATATTAATAAAATATTTAAAAATATTTTTTAAATGTCAAATTCCTAAAATACCGGTACCTTAAAAAAACGATTAATTTTTACATTAATGCAAATTGAACTTTCTAAATTCTATTTAAATAAGCATATAGAATGCACATAGACCTATTTTGAAGGAGGTATACTATAATATTATGACATGGTTTTTATTCCTTTTTGTATCATTTTTGATAATTTTAAGTACTTCGTGATGATGAACAATCTGATGATCTCAATTAAAAAAAACTGCCCTTGAATAAAAGGGGAAATAAATTATTTTTTTATAAATCAGGCAATTGGCCATTATACAGGGTTGTTCACCACATACGACACGAAGTATTGCAGCTAAATGATTAGATTTTTACAAATTGTAAGTTTTGGGTTCGTTGAAGGACTATTAGAGCTACAATTTAAAAATATTTTTACAAGATACAGAGTGTCCCAAATAAATAAAAAATATCAAAGTTGTATTTTTTTTAAATGGAACACCCTGTATATTATTACATTTTTAGTTTCTACGATTAAAATAAAGGTAAATTTGATTAAGGTTTATTACACTTAAACCTTACCGTTTTTGAAATATTTTCAATTTTGTGAAATTGCAGTCAAAATTTTAAGGCTTCATTTCTCCAAGGGTATCAAAGTTTTTAATAGTAAATATTGACTGAAGTATATTTATTGATCAGATATTTTGCTGCAATAATAAAAATAATACTACCTCATACAGAGTGTCTAAAAATTTATTTTAAATTATTTCTAGCTTTGAATGGCAATAACTTGTTTAATTTAAATGGAACGCCCTGTATATTTTAGGAGAATCAGATGCACAGTTTAATTGTCTATCAAATTGCATTATACCGCTTTTTATCTATCCCTTTAAATATCTAATATATAATATCCCTTCAAGTCTATTATAGCGCCCCAACCTATGTAAATCTTATAACATGGGATATATATATGCAAACTCCCTAAATCTACTGATTTATATCTGGCAAAGCAGCATTTGGAGTACCTACCTTTTTACCCTTAAAAACCTACCCCCAACAATTATATTAAGGCCCTCTTCAACAGCCTCTGGTAAATTTACAAGAACTACCCACACAAGAATTATTTCTTTAGAAATGACCTTCAAATTTATCAAGGTCAATACTTCTTCGGCTCGTGGATAGATGCTGATAGAAAACAGGCCATCGAGCAAAAGTGGTCTAGTATCCCGCTAGCTATACTACTTACAGAGTGGCGCACCTCATTCGCCTCGGTTGATTATACGAAAACGGTTGTAGAAACATCATTTTCTTATCGAGAGAAATCGTAGAAAATTCATTTTTTTATAATTTAGACCTCATTTATTAATAATATTGACATTTTAGAGCAACAAATCTACAAAATGTACAGGCTAGTAATATTATCGTTTTTAGCAAAATGATAATATTACTAGCCCATTTGTATGCACAAAGAAAACGATTTAAATCTTTATAAAAGAGTATACCAAAATTAAATATACCACCATTATTTCCGCCCAAATACGCATTAATTACATACTTAATTATGTTCGTTAATAAATTATTCTAAATAAATGTGGATTTTAATCAGAAGTCAATATAATAATAAGTTATGAATATGAATGTCTCTGTTGTTATAAATAAGCATTTGTCAAAAAATGAAATATCATTTTTAAGGTGTTAGTTTTTACCCCACTGTCTAATACACATACAAAATTCAGTTTTTTAGCATTTGGAGCAATTATTATTAATCAACGCAAACAGTCAATTTAATGTAGTTTGAATACTGGAATCATATTAATTGGTCCTCTTTAACAAATATTTAAACAGTTTTTTTTAATGAAATAAACAAACTATATCGACAATATTAATACCTGTACTCTTTTAAAATTTGGTACATCTTTAAAAATAATCTAAAATGTCACTATTCCATGGGTATATTGATAAATGAGTTCTACAGTACAAGAAAATGCATTTTCTACGGAAACTTGAAGAGATAGGTAAAAAATGGCATAATACAATTTGATAGACAATTAAATTGTGCATCTGATTCTCATAAAATATACAGGGTGTTCCATTTAAATTAAACAAGTTATTGCCGTTTAAAGCTAGTAATTATTTAAAATAGAATTTTAGACACTCTTTACTTACTACTCACACTTTAGAAATGAAGCCTTAAAATTTTGACTGCAATTTCACAAAATTGAAAATATTTTTCAAAAACGGTAAGGTTTAAGTGTAATAAGCCTTTATCAAATTTACTTTTATTTTAATCGTAGAAACAAAAAATGTAATCATATACAGGGTATTCCATTGAAGAAAATACAACTTTGATATTTTTTATTTATTTGGGACACTCTGTATCTTGTAAAAATATTTTAAATTGTAACTCTAATAGTCCTTCAACGAACCCAAAACTTACAATTTGTAAAAATCTAACCGTTTAGCTACAATACTCCGTGTCGTATGTAGTGAACAACCCTGTATTTTTGTATTTTTTTTTTATTTCTAGTCGATTGGAAGTGTGTTAATAAAATTTAATTGTATTTTATGGGAAGAGTAATATTATACAGGATGAGTCTTAAATAAGTGGAAATATTTTTAGAGGTGGTATATTTCGACCGCAGAAATACAGTCAAAAACACTGTTTATGTGTTTTTTTCGCAAAAAAAAAATTTAGTATTTTTTGAGAAAAAAAAATTGTTTTTTTTAATTTTTATTTAAGACATAATGTCTTGATAATATGGTAACATTAGGCAGTAGATTAAATTTACAAGAAAGAAAAGACAGAAGTGGTTTTCAAAATTTATGCAATTTTTTTTTTATTTTCAAAGTAAATAACCCGGTTATTTTGGACTTATTTTAAAAACGGCAATAGTATCTAATATTATTTTAATTATTATTATTCTAATGAGCAACTATATTACAAAATTATAGGTAACATCTGTGGTTAACTGTAGTAGTAATATTTGTTTAAAAGAAAAAATAAAATAATTTGCAAAAGGTCGAATAGGGTAGAATCAAAAATTTCAACGTTCATTTTACATACAGATACAGCGACTGTAAACTAGTTTAATCAGAGTTATTTGAGCCGTATAGGTATTATTCATGCTATTCATGCGTGTTAGGGGTATAAAAACATAAAAAATAAAAATTCGCCATACCTATGTTGTTTTTGGCATATTAATTAAATAATCCGTAAACCTTTTTTTTATTTACAAAAAGGATCGTAGGATTTAACGCGATTTTGGGTGTGTTGAATTATTAAAAATAAATTTGTTTGGTTTATTAAAATGAACTAATTAATTTCGTACTATCTATAAAATTGAAATGGAAAAGCAACGGAGAATGACGGAATAAAAGATGAAATAAAATA